GAGTGTGAGCTGTACAGGAAGGAAAGAGAGGATCTCGAGGAGGACATGAGACAGAGAGGGTGTGACATGGACAAGTTTGGTAAATTAGACAACAGCGAAAAAACGATCGCGGTAATTGGGGATAGATGGTGGGCACAAGAGGCCGTAGAGGACGGGAATAAGATGTGCAAGGAATTTTTATGTAGTTTGTGGCAGAAACGTAAAGAGCTCCCAAATGTTGGTGGTGTCTCTAGTAGGGGTAGGAACGGTGCTCCGTCTCGAAAGGGACGCGTGGTCGATGGTCAAATGACTACGGCAAGCAACAAATGAGTACGCCCCCCCCCCCCCCCCCTCCCCCGTCGCTCTCTTTCTGACTGGTGCTTTGTACTTTTCGGTTCTTTTGTCGTAACAGACACTTGTTCGCTCGAGTTAGCACCATCCTGTTGCTTGCTGCTCCCCTCGTGGATTAATATCTTGATCAAGTCCACTCCTGGTCTTTGCACCGCTCTGTCTGTTCAAATGTCGTTTAGCGCACATACGTGATGAGTGGCTCATGGCGTAGGGCAGCGTTCAATCGGTGGATTTGGCCATTTATCACATCACCACGCAACCCCCCCGTCACAAGCATTGAAATGTTGTTGTCATTGGGTAGACACGAAAGAATGGCGTTCGTTCGTGTTCGTTATTCAGGCATGACGTGAGAGTAGAGAAGGCAAAAGATGCGTGAGGGATGGAAATCGGCTGGTGCACGGTCTGAATGTAAGTGCGAATAGAACCGCGCAAGTGGCATTGGGTATACATAAACCTCAAACGAGTCTGAGCCTGATTCTTTCATGTACTCCCGGCCCAACCATCACCCCCCTACACACACACACCTTAAGGTTGACGTTTGGTTAGACCATGCCGATCGCTTCAAGAACGGCGCGATACCAAGAGAAGCGGTCAAGACGGTCATAAGGGACGCCCTTCTCCTCAACGGGCTGCCGTCCCCGCGAGAGTCCGACGCCAAGATCAGCCTGCAGCACGCCTCCACGGACGACCAGGGGCTGCGCTTCGACCGGAGCAAGCTCGGGGTCAAGCTGGAACATCTCATTCGCAGGGAATTGTATTTACTTTGACGTATGCGTATGTGCATGTCATGTGGCCGCGCAGCACGTGGTCCGTGTGGAGAAGAAATGGCCCACGCACGCGGAGGGAAAACTTAACGACCAACGATCTGCACCCGCTCTAAGGAGCAGGTGTTGACATCTAGATCGTCAGTTCGCGAACGGATTTAATTTCCAGGGCTTTCGGTAGACAGACCCGCCTCCGGGTTGAGGAAGGACAGTTTTGCTTTTTTTGTCGATCTGTGATTTCAATCAATCTAGCCGAGTGCAACGACGACGCTAAACGATTTCTCTTTGGCCAGGCTGTTCTTAGTGGTGGTGAGGACAACACGTTTTTCCAGCTACGGGGACAACTTCCGGTAGCCGCAATTTCCCACGGTTAGGGAGTAGGTGCGCGGAGAGGGGGGGCACAACAGCTGAGAACCAGCAGCGCCACGAATAGGTACCTCCTCGAGAGTTACACAGCCGCTCCGCCTTGCATCTGGTGCGGGTTCTCCGAAGAAACAAATAATGTGGACATCCCAGGGGTTACCACATATTGTATCTTGTGTCGAACCCAAATTTTGCCATCCCAGGTTATGCCATGTCTTGGGTCAAACCCGGTGCGTGCTTTGGGCATAATTGTTGAAATCGTTGTTTGTAGTGTCCGATGCACAATCAGCCATGCCACCTACACCATGGACCAGTCAAACACCGTTACACAGGCTATTTCCCCCTCTCGACTACGGCCAGCAGCCCCGTCTACTACAGAGCGACGTAACCAATACGAGAGAGACAAAGAGAGAACCGAGGCGGTCCAAAGATTTCGATCATCCAATATGAGGAAATACGCAAAGCCTGCACAACGCGCCCTCCCTCTTTTAGGTCCGCGCAAGGAAGTTTTGAACTCCACCGACGACGCCGACACCACACTACAGAACAAGAGGCCTAGCACAACACCGCCGCAAGACGTGCAAATTCGACAAGTCTGTCGCAGCACGGCGCGACGCCGAAACCATAACTCCCATGTGTTCAATGACCACAACCATTGAGGGCCCCTGAACTTCAGGCGAGCCTCCAAGCGGGAAAAACATCACACACCCTCTACAAAGGAGACGCGCACACACGCACGCACGCGGAAGAGGCACTGTCCCCACGACTCTCCCTCATGGTGCCATTTACGGCAGTCTTTTCGGCAGCACACAATCCTTGACGGCATGCCCATACGTGATGGTTACCGTCCGCGGCGCCCCCCAGTTTGATGGCAACACCGACGGGCCTACCGGTGATCCCGAGCCTCATGACCACCACCCCAAAACTCCAAATTTCACCAACACAACATCTAACTAGTACTGGACTTGCGCCGCCCCGGCGTCCGCGCGGACGAACATGCGCGGTGCTATGCACATGGCCATCAGCTCTTGGAACAGGAGCTTGCAAGCGTACGGCACGTGGATCTGAAATTTCGAGAAGCAGCAACGCAGCGGGCGTAGGGTATGTGCAGGGTTGGGGGCGACGGCGGACAGAGAGGGGGTGGGGGGGGGGGGGTACTCATAGTCGTGCATGCCGTAGTCGTTAGACCATTGACCTCGCATCCCTACAAAGCCGGGACGGAGCACGCCGG